TTAGTGATTCCATGTTCCTTGATTCTTTATGTTCTCTAGAGTTTTGTGTTGATGTTTTCACATTTGAAATAACAGTCACCTCCTCCAGTCTTTACTAGTTGTCTTCAGGTGGAATATCCTTTCCACTGGTCCTGTTTATATCTGGGGCTTTATCCTACCTTGTATGGGTACACCTGTTTCATGCTTCTTTCTCCCACTTGTGGCAGAATTCTTTAGCTCATGTGTCTTGTCTTGATCTTACAACTCACCAAGCCAGCTGATGGAAACATTTTGTTTTCCTAAAGGTGGCACTACATCTCAAGTTTGTGGTCTCTCCCTTTCCGTAGACCCTGGCCTGTTTTCTGTTGGCACTCTCTGTCTACTGGAGCTCAATTTCTCACCACCCTTGGGTGCACAAGGAGCTGGACTCAGAGTGGGGGGAGGTGTGGGTTTGGCACTTGGGGCACTGGAGGTGGCTGTGGGCCAGGTTGGGGGATCCTCAGGTGAAGTTTTACCAGCAGCTCATGATGGGCATCTTAGTGGAGTCCCGAATGCAGTCAGCAGGAACCACATCCATTTAATGCCCTCTATACTCTTATCTTCCTCTTTAGCGACCTCTTCCTTCTGCCAGTCATGGAGGTCTAGCTTCAATACTTGGTGGTGAAGGAGAGAAACAGGTTTCTCCTGCAACATCGAGCACTGCTAGAGAAGCTGGACATTCACTAACTGTTCTCCTTTTCCCCCATTGGAGAAATCACCAGTGGCTAGCTCTGCCTCATGCTGCACCACTCTGAGGGAGGGGCAGTACTGGCAAACCTCCTCTTACCCTCTCCAATGCATCCAAACTCACACTGCTTTTTCTCTAATGGAGTGCTGGCATCTCTCCTCAGGAAACCTGAACTGCTACAAAGGCCCTCTTGTCCATGGGTGTCTGCCCAAGTCAGTGCTCTGCAGGTGTTACCCAGCCACAGTTGAGAGAGGCCAAGGCCAATTCACAGGTTCCTGCTGGCTCCACAGCCCATCCTGAGGTCTATCTGCTTATCACTTGATGCACAGGTGGATGAGACTGCTCCTGGGGCACTTGGCTTATGGGGTTGGATCCCACAACTCCCACAGACACACTTGTACATGGATGGATGCCAAATTTCATCTGTTAAAGAGGGGGACAAAAAGGAGGCTGCCTTATGCTGCCATGATGCTGACGTCCAATCCTTTTATTTATGGAGACTTGAGGCTTGTTTTATGGCCTACTGTGTGATTTATCCTGGAGAGTGTCTCATGTGCACTTGGAAAAACTGTATTTTGATATTATTGGGTGGAGTGTTAAATTGATGTTTATGAAATCGAATTGGTTTATAGTGTTGTTTAATTCTTCTATATCCTTGTTGATCTTCTGCCTAGTTTTTCTATCCATTATTGACAGAAAGTTATTTAAATTTACAAGTATTATTGATGAATTATCCATTTCCCACTTAAATTCCATCAGTTTTCTTCACCTATTTTAGGGCATTTTTTGTCAGGTGCATATCCTCTTGATGGATTGACCCTTCCGCCCTTATACAATGTTCTTTCTTTAGTAACAATTTTTGTCTTATGGTGTATTTTGTCTAATATTAATATAGACAATCCAGCTCTCTTAATTAGTTTACATGGTGTACTTTTCTTTTCCACTTGAAATTTATTCACATCTTTTAATCTAAAATTTATCTCTTTTAGACAGTATGTAGTTGATTAATGTTTTTGATTATCAATTCTGCCAATCTTACTTTTTATTGAAGTATTTAATCCACTTGCATTTAATGTAATTACTGATAAGGTAGGATTTGTGTCTGGCATTTTGCTTTTAGTGTCATATTTGTCTTATGTCTTTTTTGTTACTCTATTCTTCCATTACTGCCTTCATTTTTCTTAAATATATATTTCATAGTGTGCCATACCAGTTCCTTTGTTTCCTTTCCTATATATTTTTAGTCAAGTTTTAGTGGTCTCCTTGGAGATTCCAATTAGCATGTTAATTTAAAATAGTCTATTTTGGATTAATATTAACTTAATTTGTGTAGTATATCAAACTTTGCTCCAATATAATTCTGCTCGCCCCCATTTTCTACTACTATTGTTATGCAAATTACATATTTAGATATTATGAGCCCATGAACACAGCTTATAATTACTGCTTTATTCCATTGTTTTTTAAATCAGGTGGGAGAAGAAAAGAGTTATAAACAAAATGCATTTATACTATCTTTATATTTACTTATGTAGTTACCTTTACCAATATTCCTTATTTCCACATGTAAATTCAAGAACTATCTGGGGTCCTTTCATTTTAGCCTGAAGGACTCCCTTTAACTTTTTTTGTAGTGCAGGTGTACTACTGACAAATTCTCTCAGTTTTAAAAAAATCTGTTAGTGTCATAATTTATCCTTTAGTTTTTGAAGGCTAGTTTGGCTGGATAAAAATTTTTTGAAATATTTCTTCAACACATTGAAAATATCATCCCACTGCCTCAACTCTCTGATTTCTGATAAGAAGTCAGCTATTAATCTTATTGAGAATCTCTTATGTGTTACATATCATTTTTCTCTTCCTGCTTTCAAGATTTTCTCTTTAGTTTTGAATTTCATCAGTTCGACTATGATGAGTCTATATGTGGATCTTTTTGAGTTTATTCTGCTTGGAGTTTATTGAGCATCTTTAACATTTAGAACATTATTTTCCATTAAGTTGGAAAGTTTTCTGCCAATACTTATTCAAAAATGTTTTCTGCCCCCTTTAATTCCTTCTTCTCTTTTGCAGACCTCAATTATATGTGCTTGGTGTCCTACAGGTCTCTGAGCCTGTGTTCACTTTTCTTTATTTTTTATCTTTATGCCCCTCATATTAGATGATTTCTATTGACCTATCTTCAAGTTTTCTGATTCTTTCTTTTGTGACTCTAGTCTGTTTTTTTATCTCCTCTAGTGAATTCTTCATTCAGTGTTTGTCCTTTTCAACTCTAGAATATTTAATTGCTTCTTTTTTTAAAATAATTTCTATCTCATTATTGATATTATCTATTTCGCGAGACATGATGCTTATACTTTCCTTTAATTCTTTAAATATTGTTTTCTTTAGTTCTTTGCACATGCTTCTAACAGAGTATTTAATGTCATTGAGTATTAAGTTCAAAATCTGTGCCCATTAGGCCTATTTGCTGTTGGTTGCTTTTTTTCCTGCATATGTGAAATATGTTTCAGTGTCTTTGCATGTTTCATTTTTTTTTAAAGATTTTATTTTTCCTTTTTCTCCCCAAAGCCCCCTGGTATATAGTTGTGTATTTTTTAGTTGTGGGTTCTTCTAGTTGTGGCACGTGGGACACCACATCAGCATGGCCTGATGAGCAGCACCATGTCTGCGCCCGGGATCTGAACCAGTGAAGCTCCATGCCGCCGAAGCGGAGTGCATGAACTCAACCACTCGGCCATGGGGCTGGCCCTGTTTCATTTTTTTTAATGGACATTTTTTATATAATTTATTGTAACAAATTTGGTATTAGATTATTCCCGTCCCTCTGGAATTCATTAGTTTTGCTGTATTCTGGTAGTTGCTTTTCTTGTTTCTGCTTGTTTAGTGACTTTTCTGGACTCATTCTGTAAATATTCTTTTCCTTCATGTGGGGTCCCTGAGTTCTCTGCTATCTTTTTAAAAAGTTCTTTTTTTAAAATCCTGTCTTCCTAGGGGTTACCCCTGGGTCAGTATAATTTAATGCCAGTCAGTAATCCTTTGCCAAGGGGTATCTGTTTGAGAACATACACCTTAAAACTTCAGTCAGTTTACAAGACAGACTTAGCTTTAACTTCGTGTTTGCTCAGAGCCTCAAAGTCCACCAGAGGTGAATGAATGGGTCCCTCTCCTGTCCCAGGTCTTTCCTGGGCATGCATACAGCCTTCCACATGTATACAGCATTTTTGATCTCTGAGAACATGTTGGAGCTTCTCAAAGCTCCTCATGGTTTTCTAGTTATCCAGGATTTTCTTTTAAATTTCTGGCCAGGCTTTTGTTCACCTCAACTGAAATCACAGCTTGATGCAGCTGTACTGCTGCCAGCAGATTGATATTGTTTCAGTAATTCCATGATGGTAGTGATTTTCCTTTGTTTTCACTGAGATGAGGTCTGTATCCAAACAAATAGCCACACTGCCCTGAGAATAGAGATTTTTCAGGTTGCTGAAAGTTCAAACAAAATATTGACTGTGCTCAGAGGGTGGTGATTTTAAGAGAGCATCAAAGGATGTCAGTCCTCTCAGCTGTCTGCAAGACTGCAGACTTTTCATGTTATCATGCAAACCAGCTGGGGATTGAGGGGAAATGGGAATAGCTCCAAGTTAAAATATTACAGAACCCTCTATTTTTTGAGGTTTAATAGTATCACTTGGATAGACAATTTTCAGTTTTTATTGTGACTCTAGTTAATTTCCAGTGTTCCAAAATCATTAATTTTAGTTGTTTCTGTGGAAGAATGACCTCATGGATTTGCTTACTCTGCCATTCAAGAAGTCAGTCTCCTAGCACTAACATTGATAATTAGTCTAATTTCTTATTTGTCCATTTAACTACCTGTCAACATAAAACTCAACATTCTCTAAGGGAATCAACATAATCCGGACTCTTTACAATATCTCACTCCATACAACCATTGTCCACCATACAATCAAAAGTTCCCAGATATGTGAAGAAGCAAGAAAAAAGGAAGCTAATAACAGATACTGGGTTATTTCAAGATATCCAAATTTACATGTCATAACCAACATTTTAACTTGCATTAAATGATTTATCATATAGAAATTTAACTCCACGATTAACTTCATACATCCTGAATTATTTTTATGGCTAATGAAATATAAAAAGTTTTCAGTAATTAGAATTTATCCTTTTTTTTTGATAAAAATGCAATAGACACCTAAATGCTGCCTCCTTACTGACTCTCCTTCTGACAAATAAAACTGTTATCTCTAGAGTTGCCACAAACATTCTGACTTACCCAGCATCTTTCACGGGTCTTCTCTAACATCATTGTACAGAATCCTGCAATCACAAACTGGAAACAAAACTCACATTTATTAGTACTCAGTGATTATGTTTATATATAAGTAAGAGAATTCTGAAATGCTGTAACATGAAGAATATCATCTTAATTCTGTAGTGGGACCATTGAGAAAATCATCCAGGAAATAATTCAAGGTTTCTCTATTACAGAGATGGAGGAAAGCATGAAGTCTCTTGTCACTAATGTAACACATGTATTGGAAACAGAATCTAGGGGCAATGGACTTTATGGGGCAAAAGGAGTGTCAAATTTTACTTAGTTTTTGTCAATCTTATTTATTTACCCCATAAGGGAATTACAACAAAATATATCCAGTGAGTGAATTTATTACTAGGCAATGTTACATCTTGGTGATTTCACACGCAAGCACTTTTAATATAATGTTAGAAATATTTTATTAATAGAATAGTCATTCAGAAAATATTTAAGCTTCATTTCACTTATTTAAATATAAGAATCAAATAGTGTCTTCCATGAGTAGCTTGTTCTGAGACCTTCCATCATTTCCTAAAACTTGTTAGAAAGATGGCAGTTATGGTGTATCAGAAATTTATTTTTTTCATGGGTGCAACTTTTATGCATATGTAGAAACTTCCCATAGCATTAAAAAATTATTCAGTTACTAGTCTAGGAAAGGAATGTTCTTTCCCCAGGAAAATGGGGCTGCTAACATGTCAATACTAAATAGCTTTTTGGGGTCAGAAGGATCTGAATTTGAATTCTTTGCACTTTGCTTTCTATGTGACTCAAGAGAACCTATCAAGTTTTTCTTTTTTCATTGGTAAAGTGGGGATTAATATTTTTCACCTTGTGTTACGGTGTTGTTGTTGTAATAGTTACATATAAAGCAATTCGCTGAATTGTTTATAGCCAACTTGGTCCTACATCTTCCACCTAAGGCTCAGAACTACATTTTCAGAATTGCTTTCCTTGCATGGTTCCCAGTTACAATTGGATAAGAGAGAATCTCAAGCAATATTTGGAAGGGAGAAAGGAAGCAGAAATAATTATTCTCGGAAGGTCAGAGTGATCAGACATGGCAACTGTGGCCTCATTTTTCTCTATCCTTTGTTATATTTCCATTTTGTCTTCCAGAAGCAGCAGTTTCCTGACTTTTACATGACCTTCCCTTTGCAACCCCACTCTGGTGGCCAGGCTTCCATGGCTTCTTAGATTTAATTACAACTTCAACTTATCCACTCATGCTCCTTAGGCAGGAGCAGTTAGTGACTCTCTTTATGGTTCTCCAATTCTCCCTTCCACATCTTATCATCTCTAGGAACTCCCACATTTATGAAGGCTCCAATTCTCATATAGTTTCTAAATGCACATCAATCTTGTAGTGGCTGTGTTTTCTTTACAAAACCCTGCACTGAAATAAGCACTTTGTCACAAGGTCCAAAATTTGGACATTGGCAAATATTATTGATTTTTTATTACTTTCTGTTATATTTTCTACTTCCACATATCTTACTTGGGATTTTTCTTAGACCTTTGAAATGAGTGCTTCTTTTGTCTTCCAGCTACTTATCTTAGACATTCTACATAAAGCAAGAGAATACTGTTCCTCCTCAGCATCCTGGACTTCCTCCATTTGAGATTCTCATTATAGAAAAGCCTCCCAGAAAATAAAAACATAAAATAAAGTCATCAAAAAGAAAACTACCACAAGGACAATGTTATCTCTTTTAATCTCAGGCAAAATCATGGTCATAAATAAAATTGCTGTAGTTACTTATCACATGTTGCAGCGGCTTCTTCACAAAGTGCAGAGGCTGAGAGAGAGTAACATGAGAGCTGAGATCATATGATAAAAGAGACCTGAAGTCTTGAAGCCTGGAGGAAAGAGTTTTCCAGGGAGAGGAAATGCAAGCACTTACAGAGGAGAAGTCTTTATTTGTTTACAGAATAGAACAAAGACCAGTGTGCCTGTAATAGAACGAATGAGGGATCATCACCTCATATGAGATTGCCCTAGGATCAATTGCTATCCTTTAGAAGAGCACACTCTTTCTTTTCATAACACTTACATTAGAAACTTTTAGGGGCTGGCCTCGTGGCCAAGTGGTTAAGTTCACGCGCTCCACTGCAGGCGGCCCAGTGTTTCGTTGGTTCGAATCCTGGGCATGGACATGGCACTGCTCATCAAACCACGCTGAGGCAGCGTCCCACGTGCCACAACTAGAAGGACCACAACTAAGAATATACAACTGTGTACCAGGGGGCTTTGGAGAGAAAAAGGAAAAAAATAAAATCTTTAAAAAAAAAAAGAAATTTTTAAATATATGCTTGCTTGTTTACTCTCTATCTCCTCAACTAAGAAAGTGAGGTCTATGAAAGTAGAGGAATTTTTTATCTTACTTAAACTTAATGCATGTCTTGTTTATTGTTTTATTCCAGTCCCTAGAGCAGTTCTTGCAAATAGTGGTTGTCCAATATATTTCTTTACTGAAAGAATGAAAATATAATTTAAACAACATAACATGAACATTTAAAAATTAAGTTAAACAAATGTGTGAAAAGCCCTTTCAATAGATTCTGTGTCTTCTGATTTATTCCTTCAGAGTTCGCTTTCAACTAGGTCCCAGATGATAGAGACCATAAGAGAGAGCATCTTGTGAAATCTCAATCAAGATCCCTTCAGGTTTATTTGGTATGTATGTGTGTGTATGTTAATTACTAACTGATTCCAAAATTTACAAAAGTGATGCAAGAAAGCCAAGATAATCTCGAAGAAGAACAAGACAGTAGGACTCACTATAGTGACATTAAAAGTTACTTAAAACCATAGTAGTACTAGTACAATTGCAATACCAGTACAATTATAGAAAAATAGAGAGTTCAGAAGTGTATTCAAACCTATATGGACACTTGATTTATAGAGGCAAAAATAATCTTACATCCAATAAATGGTGCTTTTGAAATATCTATATTATAAAAACATGAAATTTAACCCCTAATTCATATCATAAACAAAAATAAATTCTAGGTACATTGGAAATCTAATGCAAAAGGTAAAACAATTCAGCTTCTAGACTGTAATATAAAAATATCTCCTTGACCTTAAAGGATGAAATGATTCATTAAATTGGGTATAAAAAATGCTACCCAGAGATCTCAAGATGGCAGCATAGGCAGACTCTAAACTCATCTCCTCCCATGAATACAACCAGGTTACAACCATTCTTGGAAAAATTACCTCTGAGAGAGAACTGAAAACTAGATAAATATAACCCCCATAACAAGGGACAGTCTTGGCTGAGGTGAAAGAGGCATAAATTCTTTCTGGAGAGAAAAAAGCCACCTTTGTGAGTCATGGAGCTTCATAGCTGGCTGGGAGAAACCCTAAGGTATACAGCCTTCCCTGAAAGAGCGGGGATCTGAGTGGGGGGATGCAATACTGCTATAAGCATCCTTCAGACTCAGCACAACTGAGATGAGTGTCATATTATCTGGCTTTGCTGGCAATTAACTGCAATGGAGAATAGTCCTAGAAAAGATTGACATAGCAGAATAAAGCCAGCTCTAAAAGGGCCCACGCAAAACTTCACCCATCTTGGAAAGCAATCTAGAATCATCAGAAAGAAAGGTGCATAGTCCTTTGGCGAAAAGAGACTCACCTGGTAGGCTCTGGGTGCATCTTGGTGAGACCTCCCTGGGATCTGAGACATTGTTGTCAGCCATTGTTATGATCTAGCACAGGGATGCTGACACAGATGCTGTCAGATGCCATTGAGTTCTGCCCTTGGCTTGTTAGCCGAGGGGTCTGCCATGCCCAGTAGAGTGTCAATTTAATCCAGCTCAGCCAGAGCAGGCTGCCTGCCCAAGGACTGGCCCTGCCCAACAGGAAGCCCTCAGGCTACTTGTTGGCCTGCATAGACTGGGTGCCTCAAACCTCTGCAGGCAGGCAAGTGTGTTCGCCTCTGTGGGACAGGGTCTGTGAGAGGAGCAGGTGAAGTGTGTGTGTGTGGGGCATTGGTGGAGAGCATGCTGGCCTCTGCAATGGGACAACTGGCTACACTCCAGGGAGTTGGGAAGTGTGCATGGGCCAGGACTGTGTTGATAGTGTGTGTGGACCTGTGAGAGAAGGGGCTTATCAGTGGCAGAAGACCTGTACTTCACAAAAAGCCACAAAGGGGATCGGCTCCACCTTACAAAGCCTGAAACAATTGGGTGCTTCCATGCCTGGGGACAGCCCCACTTAGCTGCAATCCTAAGAGGGCTCACAACAGCCTTGCAGGCCTGAGGCCTACAGCAATTATAAGCCCCTGAGCATAGAAACCAGCCACAATGGGTGCCTACTCACTTAACAGAAAAACTGCAACAGGAGTGTGCTATTAGACCTTGCAGCCAACTGTTATGGGGCTCCCCAAAACCAGTTTACAAACAGCTGGCTGGGAGGGGGAAAGCCTAGACTCCCTGGGTACCTACACTAAGAGCAATCCTGCTGCAGCAGAAGAACACACGTAATCTACACAGGAGTCACTCCTGGAAAATTTGGACTCATCACAAGAGGGAAGCACACTGTTGGGCTTCAAAAGGCGTCTCTTACAAAAGGCCACTTCTCCAAGATTAGGAGACATAGCTGACTCTCCTAAAACGCAGATATAAGCCCAGAGAAAAAGGCAAAATGAAGAGGTAAAGGAACACGTTCCAAGCAAGAGAACAGGACAAAACCCCAGAAAAAGAACTAAATGAAACAGAAGTAAACAGTCTACCTGACAAACAGTTCAAACAAAAAGTCATAAGGATGCTCACTGATTTTGAGAGAACACTGGATGAACACAGTGAGAACGTCAACAAAGAATTGGAAAATATAAAAAAAGAACCAATCAGAAATGAAGACTATAAAACTGGAAATGAAAAATTTACTAAAGGGACTCAATAGCAGAGTAGATGATACAGAAGATTGGATCAGCAAGCTGGACAAAAGACTAGAGAAAATCACCCAAGCTGAACAGTTAAAATAAAAAAGAATTAAAAAGAGCAAG